AATAGTTGGGAAGCCAGTTATTTTTTTAAGCCATGCTTTTAAACATAGCTTTTAGGAATAAGAAATTAAACATGCAGAGATGTGCACGAAATACCAATGGAAATACTTTAGCTGCAAAGAGGCTATTCAGAGGTTAATTCAGTTCCAGTGAATATGGTAGTACCACGTTTTCTATTGGCAACTGGGACTCTGATGCACACCTTTAATGTAGCCACAAGAAGCTTAAGGGTCCTGGCACGTCAAGGAGGGATCATCATAAAAATACGGTTAGAGACTTGACAAACTGGAATAAGGCTCATACTCTCAGTCTGCTGTAACCCAACCAGGGCTGTTCCCTTTGAGATCGCTCTTGGGTTATACCTGCTGATAAATGAGGTTTCACTGGAGCCAAACTCACTGAATCTCCTCTTTCTGTCCCCCGTGCAGAGCAGATCCAGCAGAGTATGGATCCCTCGTCTCTGGGTGGGTGCCCAAACCTCCTCTGTGGGGCTCCTTGTAATCACAGATTGCTCTTGCGAAACTTTACATTGGCGACGGATGAACAGGTATTTTGTTCTAAAGTGACTGCTCCAGAATACACCACTGTCACATCACCGAAACAACGCCAGTCACCCAGCTCTTCAGTAGCTGCTGGAACCTGCCGTAAACAGCAGAGCCTGTCATTCCCAGATTAAGGAAGGATTAGCTGTGCGATTTCAGTCAGCCTTACGAGAAAGGTTAGACACTTTGGGAGGAGGAAATACGTGTGTGTGTGTGTGCGCGCACATGTGTCTTCCCAAACAACAGATGGTTTCAATAAAGTTGCTCCCGCTGCTAGGAAGTGGCACTTCTTGACATTAGCAGAGCCATATCTCATCAGGGTTCTTGTTTCTACCAGCCTGTCTCAGCAAGGCCGAATCCACTGTGCGGTATGGGGTAATCAGAAAAGGCACTCCAATATCTGCCCCATTAATTGCCCCCTGCCGGTCTTCCCTCTCTTCTGATGTGACGCCCACTGTGCTCAGTATGGCCGGATCGATTGGCTTTGAAGGGCAACTTTCCCCTAATGATCCGCAATTCCCCCTACTTAAACTGCCGCCAGAACTGTCTTTTTAAAGATTCTGCAAGAAACGCGCGATTTCTTGGAACCGCTAAACAAAAACCTCTCCGCTTCAATCAATATATCGATGTATTAAATTATTGTGCAACTAAATTAATGTGCCCCTTGGTGACAGAATGGCAGAAAATGAGCAGTGTTTTATGCATTAAAGACAAACTGGTAAAAAGATTGTTTTTCAAGGTTAGATTGTTTCACAGTGAGTATCAAGATTTTTCCAATTAAAATATGTGGTGTTTTCGGAGTGCGGTTGTATCGGCTGATACAACTATTCATAGATTCACAGGACAAATTAACACATACAAATAACCGAAAAATTGTAAATATTAGTAATTGAGACATATTTGGGAGACAGCAGAAATATTATTTTTTTACCAGTATTGCATTTAAATTTTAGAGTTAAACAATTTCACTGGAAAGTAATGCTTTTTTTTTTTTTTTTGAACTCAAGAGATTAATGAAAAAAGTGACCATTCAAAATGTTGCTGTGAACTGAAAAGTCTTGCCAAGTTTCTGCAAACCTTACTTTCCTTTGTTTGGACTGTGTGGTGTGTGCGGGGGCAGGTTGGTCGATCCTTTCACGATGCTCTCCACTTTTCAGGGGAAAAAAAACACATAGGGAAGGGGCAAGGAAAAAAGGAAAAAAGGGTTCAGCGACCTACCTCTTCCTACAATTTTAGACTAAACGCGATATAAAAAATGGAAATATTCACACGGATAAAAAAATTGTTCCCTTTTGAAGCTGCTTGAACAACGCCCTATTCATATATTTCTTTACATTTTGGTCCAGTTGCATTTACTACCTTCCTTTCGCTGGCAGGAGAAAACATGAAAAGTCATACCTAATGCTGTGTGGCAAGAGCTGGATCCTCCAGAAGTGTTCCGTGCAACCTCTCTGGTGCAGCCGGAGCACTGGGGATGGTTGGGGCAGTTCCCTACCAGATGACCCAAACCAACAATTTACAAAACATATGCTGCTCTTGGTGCCTGTACTGCAGGTAGATGAACAACAGTTTTCTAATTAACTTGTTCTGCAGCTGTAACAAAGAAGGGAAATGCTTTCAATAACTTCATTGTTTGGTCAAACTTTTTTTATTTTCTGGTATCTTCCAAGTTCTCAAATATCTAAAAAAGTGTGTATTTTATTAATTTTCTCCTGAAACTTTTTCCTTCCCCTCCTTCCTTGCTTGGGCTCATGACAAAGACATTCTTTATTCTGAAGGCAAGAATCCCAGAGCAAGCAGTGCCAGTTCTGAGTTCATAAGGGGGACATTTCTAATCATTTACAAAAGATAGATAAGGACTCTGTGTTCCTTCTCAGTTGATATTATTTCGTCTTTATTTTTGAACCTCTGGAATATCAAATGGGGAAAAAACCACTTTATCCACCGAGTGTTTTCAGCTGTATGTTTTCAAGCTGTATCTGCAGGAATGATAAATTAGGTGTGAAATTAAAGCATAAATGAAAGCATCCCTCAATAACCAGGACATTCCGGATTCTTGTGAAATCTTAACATGGTGTCATCAGTTTCATTTCTGACCAAAAGGATTAAAAACAAAACAAAACAAAACAAACCCCAATAAAGCCACCCTACCAAAAATTATTATAATATTGATCAAAGAATTTACATCAATATGTCTCTAAGGGCTTCACAACTCCCCAGTGTCTCCTGGGAAGCCAAAATCCATGAAATCAACTTATTTGATCAACAGCGTGCAATAAATTAGTTTTAGCACCAAGCCAAGAACCCAATTTTCTGTTTTCTAGTTCTACACTCAAACACTGGGCCTGCATCACTTCCCAGGCGAAACAACGACAGAAGAAGAAAAGGATGCAGCAGAAGAAAAGGGAGCTGGAACTCATTAAGCACCTTGTCATTTCTGAAAAAAAAGAAAAAAACAAAAAAAAACCCGGTTCTAATGTTTGTGTGTAATGCAAATGCCATAGCTTTAACACACTGGGTGACTGCCATGGATTTCAGAGCAACCTGCACAGGCAACATGCTTCTCTTTTTGCACCTGAGAGATCCAGCAAATACTACGGAGAGCTGGGTGGAAAAGCCAGGTCCCTGGACTTCCATGGTAGCGCTTCACTGTGATAAATCTTTTAAGTGCTAGGGAGTGCTAATGAAGGTTTCCAGAGAGGAGAGTGGGTGATGGCGTATTACACTTGAGAAAGACTTCAGACTAAGAGAAAGTCCTGAGATCAATGCCTCTTAAAGAATATTTAAACCTGTTTGTGTGGCAATTTATTTGCTTCACCAAAACCCATACCCAGGTAAGCTATTTCAAGAACAGCTTGTGCTCCAAAGTACTGGCTCAATGCGGTATCTATATTTCAAAAACATTCTCCATTTCGCTTCTGCATTTTGAATGCCGATCCAGCCCGGCCCAGTCCACACCAAAGGAAATGAACTGTATCAGGCAATGTCATTTGCTAAAAGGTAAGAGTGGAGGTATTCTCCTTCCCTTCGTTTTATATTTCTAGGGACAATTTCACAGGCCGTGCCACTGCCCAACAGGGAAATTGGAAAACTGCAGAATCGATTTGCAGACGTGAAGTTCTATTTTCTTTTACACCTCTTTCATCAGCGTCTCTATCATTCCTGTGTTGTGCAGCGTTATTATCGACAGCAGCCTGCACACCACTGGTAATTGTCAAACCAGGGGAAAGCTGTGCCTTGCAAGTGAAAGCAAAACAACGTAAAGCAGCAGTGGGATGGCACCGAGTGGTACTATCCTTGCCTTTAAATTCATCTGCTTAAGAGCACTGGTAATGTACTCACGCTACGTTATTTCTGAGATGCATTTTTAAAATATTTAAATTGGTTTTGTTTGTGTTTTTTCTTCCTCAAAAAAAACTTCTCAGCTAAAAGCTGCAAAGTTGTATTAAACCCATCTTGACTAAACCCAGAAACGTATACTGGACTTCGGAATGCTTCCATTATTTGATAATTCTTATTAATAGCGTGGTACAAAGAAGAAAGAACAAACAAACAAAAAACTAACTCTTCCACAGCAAACTCCTGATGACTCAGTCACCAAGAATGAAACCAGTGGCTAGTTGCTGCTGGAAACTGGAAAAGCCGGTGACTATCAGCCACCTCATCTGTAGGATGGAGAAAGAACCCTACTTGGTGGGATTAAAGGTCACTGGCCACGAAATGGCTGCTTGCCCGCTGCAGTCATTCTCCCACTCTCTCTGTGGCACTGGGATGGCTGACTGGGCTGGCCACGGCGTGCTGGCAGCGTGGAAAAATAAAAAAGGCTCCCAGCGTGATAAGCTTTCAGACTAACCAGCTGATTATACCTTTTTCACTAAAGGTCAATTCAGCTTTTTTCAGCTCTGGGCATTGTAGTCAGACACTGCCCTCTCCCTGACCATGTCTTTGCAGCATTAGGATAGAAGCAGCCTTCTTTTTACGCTGGTTTTCCAGCAGCGGCCATGGCCTCTGCTCTCCCTGGCCTGCCGGGCAGACATCTTCAGGGTGACACCTCCACTCCCCTTCAGGAGGCTTTGCCCCAGGAGGTGCGGGTCAGTGAGGCCAGGAGAGTGGCAGCATAACGCTTGATTAAAGGATTTATTTATGCAGACAGGCCATTTCTGCGGAGTGTTGCTGGAGAGGAGGCCGCTCAGGGCCAAGGTGCTGCGGGCGGCCCGCACGCCCCTGCCTGAGGGCCCCAAAATGGCGGCTCCGCCCTCCAGCGCCCGCCTCCCCGTTGCTACGCGACGGGCAGAGTCCGCCCCCCCGGGCCGCCTCCTGAAAACTACAACTCCCAGGCAGAGCGCCAGGGAGGCAATACGGCTCCCAGCATTCCCCGGCCTCCGGAACTACATTTCCCGGCACGCATCGGGGCCAGGGGCCAATTGGCGTGGTCCATGTTGGTGGGTGCCAGGAGCGGGGTTGGCTTCCGCGGGAGTAAGCGGGCTGAGGAGAGGGAGCGGCGCAGGGGAAGCAGTGCCGGTGACGTTTCCTTTCGGGCCGCCCCCCTCTCCCGCTGCCGGAGCGGGGCCCCGAGAATGGCAGCGCTAGGAGGTTGGTGCGGCCGGGCCACCGGGACTGGGGAAGGGGCTGAAGGGAGGGAGCGGCCTGTGGGGTGGGGGCGGCCCGGAGAGGGGTCGCTACTGAGGAGGGGTGTCGGGGCCTGTGTGTTGAGGGGTGTCTGTGGGGGGGGGGGACGTAGAGGAGGGGGGTCGGCGCCTCTCTGCGGAGGGGTGTCGGGGAGGGTTGTCCATGGGGGGCACTCTGTGAGGGAGGGGTGCTTGGGGCCCCTGGGCTGAAGGGTGATTCTGAGGGGGGAGTGGGCCCTGGCGGGCGGGGTGCTTGGATGAGGGGCCTGCAGTGTGGGGTCTCCCGTGCGGATGGGGGAGGCGGTAGCAGAGGAGGGCGCACGGTAGGTGTCTGCGGGGGATGGGGTCAGAGGTGTGGGGTAAGAGGACGCCGGAGTGAGGGCCTGTGTGTGGGGCCTACGAGAAAGCTGGAGAGGGACTTTTTACAAGAACGTATAGTGATAGGATGAGGGGTAATCGCTTCAAACTGGAAGAAGGTAAATTTAGAGTAGATACTAGGAGCAAATTTTTCACTGTGGGAGTGGTTAGGCATTGGAACAGGTTGCCCAGAGAAGCTGTGGATGCCCCATCCCTGGAGGTGTTCAAGGCCAGGCTGGATGAGGCTTTGAGCAACCTGG